TGATCATGGTTACTAATCAGTGGGCTGATTCAGCTTTTATTTAAGATCCAGTGACACATTAGTACAGTAATCAATGGGTCACCAGCTGCCTGGTAGAACCCTTCCTGAAAATGCCTGGAAGTTTAATTACCATTAATAGTTTGAAAATTGTCACGATTACAAACACCCAAAACATGTTATATTTGTTAAGGTTTATTATCAGTTGTTAGTGGCAACAGTTTTCAAGGATTTAGCAGCCAGACGTACGTGTATTGTTGAGTTTACATGGTCTGGAAATCAACACAATTTTCAAAGACTTGGCATGAATAGGGTTGAATTTAATGGAAAACAAAAGACAAGTACACAAACAATGAAGATTATGCTGCCCCGGTACAATTTACAGTCTTTTAACCATAGACTCTAGAAGTCTATGCTTTAACTGTATGTGAGCTGTAAAAATGTTGCAAGGCATGGCATTCAAAGACTAGTGACAATAGCAGCAATTACTATTTCTATTCATATTAACCTACACAGAAAGCAATTTGGATTTCAATATAAAGTCACATCCAATCATAAAACATTATATTAATTCAGGTTTATCAAACTGATCAATTCAATGCCCAGAATAATACATGTATACATTTATATTCAATTCAAATACTGCTAACTAAATTATATATATAACTAATAATGTGACAATTTGGAGATATTGTTGTGCTATCTACCTTTATATCGAGGGACTTTTTCAATAAAATACTAATGTAGACTAAGTGCAGAATGGCAATTTGTTTCTATTCCATTTGATCCAACAAATGTTCCGTTTTTAATGTACTTGTCTGAATTATTCCACTATCTGCATCTTACCTCTTAAACATTATCAATAATAATTATGGAAATTAGTCAGTGTGATGAAAAGGGATTTGAAGAATTCATATGATTTTGTTTTTCATTTTTATACATTGAAATTAACAAATTTCAAGAACATTAGCTAAAATAATATATCAGTTAAATTTACAACTAAACATTTTGATAACAAAAAGTCATTATTGAGTCAAGATAACTCATGCCTTCAAGATATGAGTTACTGATACAGTTTTATTGTGTCAGGAAAGATATATTTTGAAAAGAACACATGCTATCAATTGTTTTGTTAGACATGATGGTAAGTAATATAAAATAGTCTTGATAAAATTGGACGACACAAATAAACATCTATTTGTGTTTGTTTTTTCTGATCTGTATCCTTACCATACAGCACCCACTGATGGTGCAGTTGTGTAATAAAGTTATTATTATTATTATTATTATTGGTTGTGTCAATATACAGTCAAAACTAAGTTAATGGCCACCTTGAAAGAGCGACTGCCTGCCTATAGCAGCCACAATCAACCAGTCCTGATCGGATTTACATGTAAAATACACTGTATATAGAGCAACCACCTGTCTAACACAGCCAGTTATGGACATTATAATTGTTATGATTGCTTTTTAAAAAAACTGGATGAGCCTGCAACGATCATACAAAGACTCCTCAAAAGACTTGTGTATTGAAATGTATTCACATCTTCCTTGACCTTTTTATTTTATTGACAGTGAAACTTTGGAGAAAATAATTTTAACAAAAATGAGTGCTGTTCCAGTAAAATTCTCACAATATCTTAGATAATTTAGAACTAAACATTCTATGGGTTCCCTTTTCGGAAATACGTTAATTGGAATGATAAAGTGCAACATACTGAATTTGTTGGTATGCTGATGTCTATGTCCGGTACAAAGCATGGGACACAAACAGCATTATCACGCATTTATTCATTAATTATGGGTATTTATTTACCTCAAAGTCTGCAAAATGGTGAGATAAACATGATCAACTTTTATAGATAGTGTGATCAATCGATCAAAATCAGCCACTATAGTTTTTTAGGAAAACCATGGCTAAAACATCCTCCCTTTGGTTGGGTGATTTGCTGCAGGCAGTGCTAAGCCACTTTATCTGCAAACAAAGACCTCACAATCTATATTAGACAAAATATACCAGTAGTCAACCAAAGCTAGAATCATACTCTAAAACAGAATCAAAATCACACAAAAAAACATTTGTGATGCATAAATTCTATAACCTCATACGAAAGATACAGTAAAAGATAGAAACAGAGAAAATTGTCTGTGTGAATCTTCCAAATCAGTCTTTGAGGGGTTATCTTAACATATTGGCAATAAAAAATGAGTTTCCATTTAGTTAGTGGGTAGGTTTCAAAAACAATAAGTCATTGAAGCAGATTATCAGCACTGCTCATACTGTTTATAAATCATCCATGACAGTAGCTCAGGGAAATTTACCAGACACAATTTCATGGTAGTGAGCATAGTACAGTATTTAGATTATATTTACTCTATTAGAAATCACATCTCTAACAGCACATATAAACTTAAAATCATATTTATTGTATGCTGGATCAATAAAGCTTATTTTGATATATACTATATAGCTATACCTTTATTATTTATGTAATTACTATTATCATACATGGAACGTGTGGTCTTTGTTCCTTCAGTAAAATCTTATTATTCAACCACAGACAACCAAGAATGAGTAAACAAGTAGAAATCAAGACAGTTTGTGGAAGTTGAAAATTGAACAACAAAAACACATTTTCTAACTTTGTATCACCCAAACCTTCATTTCAGTACCGGTATACACAGTCGCACTCTGATGACATTTGTTTACATTTTTGCTGTGACAACATTGCTCCTAAGTTGTTTTATTAATAGATATACATACATGTATATTTAATAACAGCAGCTAACAAAATTGCTATTTTATCTCCAACAACTGGATCTTGCCAACCAGTTCACTACGCACATGTATACGCGCAAAATGTAAACAAGTGTGACAACTTATATTCAGACCACAGACAGTTATTTTTTTCAGCGAAAACACTTCCCAAAATTGTTTTAAATAAAACTTACTAAACAACAAAAGAAGGCATTATCAACAAAATTGCATGGCGAGATTTAAATTTAGCATATGATATGCAATATCACAATTATCCCACCAACTATGAGGTGTTCTACAAACTTAGTCGAAATATAAGATCACTTGTAAATACAACATGGTATCACATGGATTAACATGGATAGATCAATTATAATATTGATTTTTCAGTGGAGCAGACAATTTTTAAAATCTTTAGGGTACATTGCACGTTGCCACTCAACATAATCTCTTCAGTGTCTGTTGTTTAACACAGTGACACCAATTGTGATGTTTGCTGCTCATAACATATGGGGCATGTGTGGCCTTCAATGAGGTAATTGAAAGGAATGGTCATTGAGATTACACCACTAAATCATGGAGGTACCACTCACTGTTCATTTTTTACAGGATTTTTTTTACCCTCTACATACAATATAGATTACGCCAAATTGTTTTTATATAGTTAAGTCTAGTGATTCATTTTATTCCAATTTTTTCAATTTAAGGGACCCATAAGACCAATACCAGAAATAATATAAGATTATGATATTTAGACAATCATAATTTGCACATTATTTATGAAGTGTCATCTTCACACCTTAATAGTACAAAATATTTTTGGGACAAGATTAGGAACTGTTTTGGAGACGTAACTCTTTAATCTGACTTAGTAAAAAATGTGAATTAAATTGATATTCAAATCAAACTGATATAGATGATTTCAATGATACAATTAAAATTAAAAAAATATATTAGCAGGTGTTGAACAATATAATCAAGCTTTCAAAAAAAAAATATTAGAGTTATACAAATGCAAGCAATTTTGAGGAGACAAGTAAGATTGAAGCTATTCATAATTCAGATAACAGTCTGTCAGGATAGTATGTGTAATATATGATGGTATTATTCTGTTCTTGTTTAATAGTTGGTTGAGCCTAAATTAGTCCAATGTACTAGTCTTTCATTACAATGGAACCTGCACTAATCTTCAATAAAGGCCGAGGATTAAGTGACTAACTTTGTAGAATTGAACACATCATCATTAAATAAAAAAATAAATAAAAATAACTGTGTGAAGAAAAATAATCTACAAGTGACATATTGGGTATAACTTGAAAGAAAACAACAGAGCTTTATAATTATTAATTAAATTATAGTGTAGCTAATAAATAATAGACTGGCTCATATTCTGCAATATATTTTCTGACATTATTCTAGGTGCTGATATTTTTTAAAATAGCTGCATTTTTTGTCCTTTAGCAGGGCAAACCAAATTTGTGTTTTTTTTTCAGATTTTTATACATTAAAAAACTAGTATTAGTTGACTAAAATAATAAACAAATTTTAAATTAATTAATTTATTTATGAAGCAAATATTTATCACAATAATAAAAGTTGCCAGAAGCAGTTTGAATATTGACAAAGTTATTTCTCAGAGCTGTGAATAGAATGTGTATTTAGTGAGTTAATACAAAAACAAACAATACACATAAAAACAAACAGTTTTGCAGTATGTCAAATCAGGCTGATTAATTAAAAAAACAAATAATATGAGGTCACAAGCTGTGTATGTTACATTCAATAAATCCATTTTAAATGCACATAGAACTTATTGTAATTAGCAAGTTTTATGGAAAGAAACAAATTTACATTGAATTGAATAACATTCTTGACAGACTCTGTTTCTAATTTAACACCTGAACAAAACAGTATTTCAGATATTTTTATAACTCGACCTTGAACTGCACTGAACTTGCAGACATGTCATGAGCCAGAAATAGAGACTAATCTGTAGGTCTGGAACTGTGATGCATCACATCGCAGCTCGCATCAAACGAATAATCACGGAAAAAGAAATGTTTAATCAACAGCAAACCTAATACATATAACGGGCGAGATGAAACTATAAAAACGTCCTTCATGAAATGATCGATCTGCGCGCCTCGTTAACGTTAATGTGTAAAGAAATTTCGCGCTGTCAATAGAAGCCATCAAACTTGAACCGACGCTGTCTCTCAAAGAAAACGAAAGCTTGAATGCTTACCAAAGTCTTTTGGACAATTTGTCTCTTCGGCCTATCAGCACTCATACTGTACACATTGGATCCATATAGACCTGGTCAATATTTAGTGGCATACAATCACTAACAATTTTCACACTTTCGGTGGCTCGGTTCTTCAATGCGTCGTCAGTCGACAGCAAAAACGATGACTGCAGTATCGAGCCAATGGGTTCAAACAACATCAATACAACTGCAACTGGCCGAGGACAATCAACTGAAATGTGTGGGTTTTCACTCTCTTGATACCGTCTTCCAATAACTCCCTCAGTGGAATTTCAACGATATGTGGTGCAGGGATCAGACTTGAAGTCGAATCAGCTGCCACTCCATCACCGCTTTTGTTTATGAACCGTTCATTGCTCCATTCTCCTTCCTTCCTATATAAATGGGCAGATTTAAAAATGGCTGCGGAAAGCTTTGCCGTTAAAACAGTTTCTCAGAGAAATTAAATACTAGCTAACACCGAATAACCGTAGCCCACATATAATTCTTCTGCTATACGTTAAAAGAAACGGCGAACAGTAGGACCGTCAGTGGCGGAGAGTGGCATAAAAAAAGAACCAGATGATCACAATAACAGAGTCACCGCCGCCATCTTTGTACATGTGCCAACTTAATCACTGCGCATGTCAAAAACCGGCAAATTTGAATAAAATGATGAAAAATTGATAAAAATGTCTTTTATACTAAATACATGAAGATTGTAATTGTTCTCCAAGAAATGTTCCAGAACTGGACAAGCAAAAATAAATAAATCGAAACAGACTTCAAGAAAGGAAGTAAAACAAAGTGCAGTGCATTGTGGGAGTTTAGATACCTCAAAATGGCTGAACAGGTGAACGTGAGAGTGTGTCTTGTGATAATCTGTCTAGTTCTCATGGCACCCGAAGGGCTTTCAAATCCAGACAAGTTTGATGAAGAATTGTTTATACGACCATTACCGTCTGGTCATGTTTATTCACACTTCCAGTTTACAACAACTTGGGACGTTGACGTTCATGATCCAAGCACGTGTAAGTAAACATTATCCATTATATATGTAATAACGAAAATTAGATTTAATAAAAAACAATATTTTGAAATACATCTTGTCTATTTAATCTGTACTACTGCAGATATAATATAATATGAGAATTCTTGTTAATTATTTAATTAAGTACCATTAATGTCATAGCAAGAATGATCTACTGGGCAATGTTGTCATTTACATTGCTGTTTTGCTAACAATATTCGTTGTGTCGTCACAGGAAGCCCTGTCTCAGCACAGACCTGTGTCATATGACGTCTTACTAGCCGTTTTTTGCTAAAATAGCGCTCCTTCTCTTTACACTAGTGTTTATACACGGAACTTGATAATATTTGTTCCAATTTAAGTTAGCTTTTAAGTGAAATATTGTTTAGTGAGTGAAATATTAATGTCATAAATAATTCAATCTTAGAAACAACAGAAAACAACACATAATAGTGATAATCAAATTTGTGAGTAATTTCCGGTTTCAACTAGTTTGAAAATAGACTGTCCTTGAACACAATAAAATCATGCGTGAAGCGCCTTCCGATCCAGACACTAGCAGCGTAAACAATATTTGTGCAATTTTGGGGCCAGTTTGTTCTCACAATATTTCTAAGTTTCATTTATCATTATTTAGTAAACAGGCCCCTGAAAAGATTTAATATATCAGTAAAATACGTGATAATTGACGATCAACTTCGACACAGTCAAAGTTTTGAACAAACTCCCAGCACACCTTGCGCGATTTGCGTCAGATCGGTGTAAATAGGACGCCGACCTGCAGCGTCAATGAACAATATTGCTATACATCGAACAATATTGCTTATCAATTAATCAAGCTGAAACAAAATATTGCAAATCACTAGTAGACTTTTTGAACTGCAGAAGCACAATACAGATTACACATTGGAGTAAAAGCAAGAAATTGTTTGCCAGAAACATGTAATTGATAAAAGTAATAAAGGCACATAGACTTTTCCAGAGTTGTTCGCATCCTGTTTTTTAATATTCAACCATAAGGTATTGAGCACATACATATGTTACAGCAAGTATATTTAGTCTGTATGTGATAATTTAGCTGGGTGTACATTCACAACAGTTTGTGAAAAAATCCATGTGATCTGCAATTTGCAATTTAATCTGCCATGGTACCATTTCAGGTCAAAATGTTTATTTTGCAAACACATTGCATTCAACCAGTTAGCTGTCCATGAAATGATAATGGAACGTACCAGGGTTTAGTCTTGGGATATAGATACGTTGTTATTAGTCTCCGTTTCAGGCGCAACCTGAAAAGGGGAGTATAGTTTCTTATTTCTGGTTTCCGTCTGTGACTTCTCTAACATTTTCTCAGAAATTCTGCAGCAGATATCGATGGAACTTGGCATGATGATGAATAAGTCTCTGCCGAATATGCACGTAATTTTTTTTCCAGATCTGAAAATCCTAAGTGGGTCTTTTTCATGATTTTCATCCAAAATTATCTCTTCCAACACCACTGAGAGAATAACTGAGCATGCTCACAATAAACAATTAGCTTAGATTGTAATGCTAGGGTTTTTAGTGATGTCATGACCTGGTCATGACCTTGATCTGAATGGTGACAGATGGGTCATTACCAATCTCTGTGGAAACAGAGAGTGGTAAATTTCTTGTTATATTTTGTTTTAGCTTGATTTATTGAGAAGCAATACTGCTGATGTATATAGCAATGTTGTTGTGCTGATGTATATAAAACGGCAATGACAGTAAATTACTCCCTAACTCTGTGTACAGGTCTATGAATGCTTGTTTTCATTGACCTTATTACAGTGTCCATGTACACAGGACCAATTATTTTCCTGCACACAGTTTATGTAGTTTAATAGGATTAAATACAAGAATATTTTAATGTTGTTGTTGGCTTTATTCCTACAGTTTTAAAAGTTATAACCTTTACTTTAAGATAATATTTAATGTTTTCAACAGAACTTGGAATAAAAATGCTATTCCAACTATTTTACCGGTAATTGGTTAATTTGCTCGACTGTATCAAGTCATTGTAGACAAACTGTAGACTTAGTTTATTTGAAATGTACCAACACATTAAAAATATTAGTTCTCAAGAACATTGTGGAAGTGCCACATTTGAGACAACTATTTTATGTAAGTATCTGTTGAAATAGCAATAATATATTTACAATATTTTGAATGAATGTTGATTGGTCCTCTGTCATTTTGTAGCTCAAACATACACCCTCTAGGCTCTGTATTAACTCTTACTTCTTTTTATTTTCTATTTCCAGTTGCGCACTACAATTTCTTTCCAAAGTCTCTGGGGCAAATTATCAACAAATATTCTGTACAAGAGCTTCACTTATCACTGACTCAAGGATACTGGAGACATGAAAAATGGGGTTATCCAGTGTCATCTGCTCCACCAGGTGCACAATTATGGGTATGGTTTCAAGAGAGTACTGTAGAGTAAGTAAGGTGTTAGTAAGAAATATGCAAGCTTTAAACAAGTCTGCATTTCGTTTTATGTTGCTTGTGTTATCATAGATGAAGGTTAGGGTATATAAATGGAAAATGTCTGTCCTCGTTGTTGTGTTGTGTTGTCATTGGGACCTTGAGATTAAAGTAGCATATGTACTGTTATTAAAGGTACAAAATGTTAATATACACATTTATATATTAAGCATTCATTTAATTTCTATTCTCATGTCAGATAATCACCAGTGTGATTAAACACTTATTTGTTATATAATATTTAGATTCTTATTGGGCAAGGTTGTAAATGTTTTACTTGTTTGCGTCATATTTGTGTGTGTTGTTATAGCATGAGAACTGTTTATTCCACTTAGTTTTTTATAAACATGGAAACAAGTTTTTAGAATCTATCAATATAGCATATTTGTTCAGACTTTAGTGCTATCGCAGTCATTTTTGCTATCTGATCATATCATTTTTGTGGGATTGTTGCAAGATAGTAAACTATGCCCAAAGGCCTGCAACAACCTAGACTATCTACTGTCTTTTTAGCAAATGTTTTTTGACTGTCTTTTGTCTAAGTGTAGTAACTTTGTAAATTATGAGAATATTAATTGTGGGGATTAAAATAAAGCCACACTTTAGCCATGTTGTTCAAAGTCTGTGGCACATCCTATAAACCAGCATGGATATTACTAACCATTCAAAATGGAAATGACCCCACTCCTTATTTGGTAACTCAATGTAGCATGTATTAGAGTATGAGATAAAGAATAATGTCAGTTATCATTATAAATTATATGTGCAAAGTATGCACAAAGGGAGGAAATATTGTCATCTTTCGATAAGTGGAATGCCACACTGATTCCACACTATGTGCTGTAATTATTTATTTACAGGTCTGAAACTAAATGTTTCAAATTGAATCAACTGATGATGATAACTGGAATTATGCTAATAAATAAGGACACTAGCAAAAAAACATGAGACTAACCAGTGTTCTCCATATAGTATTGGCCAATTTGCATAACAATGACTTTTTTTGTATTCATTGTTATACTAAATTTGTTCTATTGTTTATCTTAAATTTAATGGTTTGCAACCCCAAGTCTATAATGCCCTGAGGAGAACTCTGCTGACATTATCCATTTCTTTCACAGGCTTATTTGCATTAATAATTTCAAAAATATACCAATTTTGGGTTAGGGTATTCACACTAGCTAAAATCAATATCTTAAATACATTGAACAAGTTACATACCCGTATCTCATAAATCCATAGTATACCTTATTTATGTATACTGTAATAGATGTTGTTCTTATTCATCACCAGTATTGAGCAAACTTGGAAGGAATTGGTCAATGTCCTATCTGGATTATTTTGTGCATCTTTAAACTTTATAGATGGCACTGTCACTGTCAAACCACAACTCTCATTCAGACCACAGGGTATTGCTACAGGTAAATGCTTAACTTTATTATCTGGTTAAAGGTTGGATTTGTTATCACAGTATAACTGGAAATGTATGAATAATATGAATACATTTTTTTTTTGTTATAGATAAATATTCTATCAATTCAACTTATCTAAGATATGCTACTTTACCAAGAGAAAATGTGTGTACTGAAAACTTGACACCATGGAAGAAACTGTTACCTTGTGATTCAAAAGTAAGAGCAGGTTGTGGTTTCTTTCTTTTTTTTCTAAATATCCATTTACCATGAATTCATGTGGTATTTTGTACAATGACATTGCATGATGTGTCACATAGCGGGATAGCAGGAATGAATGGGGAAAAAACAGCGCCAACAGTTAATGTTTTTTCTTTCAGACCTAATGATGCTGCAATTGCACCTCAGTGGCCCTATTGTATCATTTACCTAGTTCACATAATAAAATTATATTTTGTTACATTTTTGTCAATATATTTTTCAACTAATGTAAATAATACTACATGTAAAAATTAAATTCATTTTATTTGCTTATGATTGTTTTTTTTTAGGCTGGCCTCTCAACATTATTGAATGCCATGCAGCTTTACAATGCAAACTATCACTCACTGGAGGTACATGTTAGACCTGTATGTGCCAACCCATCATGCACCATTCCAGCTTTAGAACTAAGTCAGTCACTGTCTGTGGTGTTTGATCAGCCAATTCGAGAGTATGGAAAACAAGACTGGTCTCTGAAGAAGCTATTTGGTAGAGGTGCAAGAGGGGCATGTCCCATGGCCTCAACAAGTAATATTTATGTGGATATTAGTTCTAACAAAGTAAGAATATTATTATGAGGTTATCAAGAGAATATCGCTCAAGTATGCACAATGGCAGTATGGTGATCAAATCGACTGACACATAGCAGAGGTTGATGTGACCCAGTACTGCCCGAGTGCATACTTTGCAGTATTCTCGTGTCAACCCTATTATCATACATCTTTTTTCTGCTTGTAGTAATAATTTGAGAGATTATAGCCTGAATTGACATTGAAAGACATTTTGCTCCATGCAAACGTTTCAATGACAGGATTCTATTTCCGTCACATCCAACATAAACAAAAGAAAGTGTTTGAACGTGGGTTGGCATCATTAACCTTGAACACGTCGATTGAACGTTAGAACAAGTGCTGATGTGTTTTGGAATGAGTGCTGATCGGCTTTTCCATTGGCACACAATGGAATTTCCCATGGAGCATTCAGCCTTGACACTAATATTCATTTATGGCGCCCTCTGTGGCTATTGTTTGTGAATCACTATGCATGTGTGCATTGTCTCGCTTTTTCAAGTATGGCAGCATGTTAACCTCAAATACATCATTACTGTAGATCAAGATTATTAGCCCCCATCTGACTTGGTTCGAAATGGGGACTTATGTTTTGTCTTCCGTTCATTCGTGTGTCCGTCGTCATTTCTCAGATCTGCCTGGACAAATTTTCTTCAAAGCTTGTACAAAGACGAGTCATAATGTGAGACCTGTGCACATCGATTTTTTATTTGGTTGACCTTTGACTGACTGTTGGCTATTTTAGTTCCAAAAAAACACCAAAAATCAACATTTGGACATGTCATCAACTGTTTCTCAAACATGCCTAGACCAATTTCATTTAAACTTGGAATTGACATCAGTCATGGTGGGTTACTGATGCATGATGATGGCCATTTTTTTTTTTTATGAGTCTTCTGCCCATTTTACAAAGGTGATTTTTACAGATGTGGTTTAAATTTTGTACAAAAGCAAGATATAATGCGTTAAATGTTGTTTTTAATTTTTTGGGATTTCCATGAAATTTTGTGAAATGGTGTCCATTTTTATGATAAACGAATAGAATTGCAAAATTCAAACATGTCATCAACTGTTTTTTAGGCACGCCTGATGGCAAAACATTGTGCATGTTGATGGTTGATCAAGCATCAGTGTTCTATGAAACATAATTTAACAGTCAGTGAAAGTAATGTGAACTTGATGGCACCACATTGTGCATGATCAGTGAAAGTAATGTGAACTTGATGGTACCAGTGTGCATGATCAGTGAAAGTAATGTGAACTTGATGGTACCAGTGTGCATGATCAGTGAAAGTAATGTAAACTTGATGGTACCAGTGTGCATGATCAGTGAAAGTAATGTAAACTTGATGGCACCACATTGTGCATGATCAGTGAAAGTAATGTGAACTTGATGGTACCAGTGTGCATGATCAGTGAAAGTAATGTAAACTTGATGGCACCACATTGTGCATGATCAGTGAAAGTAATGTGAACTT